TGAGTTGTCCTGTGTTTTCCCTGAGTCATTCCCAGCATGGCCTCCATTTTAGATTTCACTCGGTATTAGACCCGATTTACCTAACTACACTAACTACCTAACTTTAAATCTGGCTTCAAGAAGACATTTGACTTTGATACATTCGTGCACACCCAACAGATATTTAGTAGATGTTCATCTTGAAATAAGGGAATGGCTTAATGTTGTCTGAGGGGGCAAAATTGCGACGTATGCAGTTAAGGGGAGAAATAAAGAATGTCCACGGGCTTCTTCCCCTTTCAATGCTTTATTCATTCAAATTACTCAATATAATTTCACTCTATAGGTTCTTAATCAAGAAAACAACAATCCTTAATGCTAAGCACTGCAATAGACATAATCAATTCACAGCAAACAATTATAGATTAGTTCTAAGCACTGTAAAACACACTTAATCATGATAGGCTAATGACAGACATTTTCTCTGCATGCTAAGTTAAAAAGTCTTAAGGCTTAGACTTTATGTATAGCAGATGCACACTCGCTCAGATCGCAGTAATCAGGTCCAGAACCAAGGCAGACTTTTCCTGGCGTGTAGTGGACGGCCATTCAGGAAAGAGGATGGTTGGGAGAAGTTGCAGCTCTCACCATTGTCCAGACTAGGCGGTAGAGTTTGAGAGAGGTGAGGATCACGGAAAGGCTCAGGAAATGATTGTGGGAAGCCTTTCTCCCACATGATCAAGCTACCTCCCTGGCTAGGTGTGAGGCGCTCAGACAAGCTGTGTCAGAGCTTTTCCCCACCCTTCCCAGGTGCGAGGGCTTGTCATGTGGGGGTGTGACTGACCATTGACCTGAAAACCAATCACTGACCCTGACCTTGGAATGCTATCCCCCTTGACCTTCATTGGATAGAATTTTCCCCTGAATTTTTTGTTCCCCAATAAAAGCTCACTCTCTGGCATGCCTCTTTCTCTCTTGCTGGTCTCTTATGTAAACCTCACCATCGCATCAGGTGGCTAGAGGCAAGAGCTGGGGGAAGCCGCCTCTGAGCCGGGCAAGAAAAAGGTAAATTGAGAGTTATGTGTCTTTAATTTGATCTCACTAGTTAATTTCTATATTTCGAACCTCTAGTATGAAGCTAGTGTGCTGGTCGCGTGGCTGAAGAATGATGACAAGTGATGGGATGTCAGGTCCTCATCAGGCTTTCCAGCTCAAATGCTTGTTTGGGCTGGCTGAATCCCTGTTAATTTGCTCTATAATTATTTATACTAAATTTGGGGGGGGGTTGACCCTCCTTTCAAAACTTATCAGCTACCACTGATATCTCAGTCACATCATTTAACCTGGGGTCAGAAACATTTGGTCTGGTGGTCTCCACCTTGATCTTCTTGGTTTCCTCTTATCAGATGAGGACAGCCTGCCATGGGCTTCACTCTGTTTATCAGGGTGAAGGGAAGTAACTTCTTTGTGTCCATACTGGAGGATTCTGTGGGTGTGCCTGGTGAAACTGCACGTTTCAAACTGGAGTTTTTAAAATGGAGTTGCTTAGGCTCAGGTCTAAAGCCATCCTAACACTTAAGTAAATTGGTATTTGGGAGATAAGAGCCCCCAAACCATCTGTGCACGTGTGGCACCTGACCTCACCTTGCTCTACTTTCTCCGGCCTGAGTTTCCCCCCTGAATTTGCAGCTTGCTTTCAAGTATTTCCTCTTTCTCTGGGTATTACAAAGAAACATTGAAAATATGCTAAGAGTTTTTAGGTGCTCTTGTGCCATACCTATGGAAGGTGACAATGATTTGCTTGACCCTATTTCACCCATCATTTCACCACATGTATGTGTGTCAAAACATGCTGCACACCTTAAATATACACAATAAAGAACAGTTCGTGCAGTGATGGGGTTCAGGACACACTACCCAAAATATGTCACCTTGGCACTTAAGAAGACAGCAGGCGCTGGGCACAGTGGCCAGGCCTGCAATTCCTGCTCGGGATGCTGTGGCAGGAGGATTGCAAGTTCAGGGCCAGCCTCAGCAACTAAGCAAGGCCCCAATCAACTTAGCAAGACTATCTCATAACAAAAAATAAAAAGGACTGAGGATATGGCTCAGTGATTAAGCACCTCTGAGTTCAGTTCCCAGTACCAAAAAAAAAAAAAGAGAAGACATCAAGCAAGAGAAGGACAGTCACTCTGACCTGCCCTTATCCCTGAGGCAAGTCATAGGACCCTCTTGTAAGAGGTGCCCTCCTGTACTTGGAGGAAAGGATCATCCATATCCCTGAAGACAGGGACACAAGGAAGACTCTGAACCAAGAGGTCTTGTCGAGAATCCCTGTAGTCCCCACTGTATTACATGCCTTTGCCCAACATGCTCATCAAACCCAAGCCTCAGAATGCATGATGGGGCTGGGATTGTGGCTCAGTGGTAGAGAGCTTGCCTGGCAGCTGTGAGGCACTAGGTTTGATTCTCAGCACCACATATAAATAAAACAAAGGTCCATTGACAACTTAAAAAAAAAAAAAAAACCTGAACACATGAGTTCCCGTGTCTTTGGGTCATTTCCTGAGGCTCCCAGGTCACAGAAACTTTGCATTAAATAAAAGTGTATGCTTTTCTCTTATAAATCTGTCTTTCGTTATAGGGGCCTCAGCCATGAATGGGAAGAAAACATGCATCTTTTCCTCCACATGTAGTCTACACCACTTTTGTTAAGAGAAATATGCCTTGCTGGTTCAGACAGCTCTGTGTGAGGGCCCAGCCTCAGGTCCCATGCAGATGTGCCTCGGCTCTGTGCCCTTGCAGTGAAGATCAAACATTGATTTATGTGGTACTGATCACTGCAGTCAGCAGCCAGAACTGTTGCCTGCAGGTTGGGTAGAACCATCAGGTCCAATTCTCAGCAGGCTGGTAACAGATGCTGAAATGGAAAGGCAGGAAATCATCCACACCCAGACACTTCCAGGCATTCACCTGACCCTCACCGGATTGCAATGACACCAAATAGCTGAACTTCAGCACAGAAGTCCTTCCAGAAGTGCAGAACGCAGTATGGGGTCAGCAGACTTCTCATCTAGCATCTCAGCCTGCAGGCCTAGGGGTCTCACAGCCACTCCCCTCTGCATTGTAGGGCAAAGCAGCCATGGATTTTCCTACATGGAAAAGTACAGCTGTGTTCCAACAAGACTCTACTTAGTGCCACTGAAATTTGAATTTCTTATATGTTTAATGTATTTTGAAATATTATTCTTTTGATTTTTTTCAACCATTCAAAACTAAGAACCATCCTTAGTTTGCAGGTCATAAACACATAGGTAAGCGAGCAGCTTGCTGAACGCTGCACTAGCTTTGTGAGGTAGGTGCAGGCAGAGGATCTATTCAAGTGGATGCTCAGGGTTTGTTGAGCAAACTCCACAATGCCTCAGGTTCAGAAGAACACCCCAAAGGAATACTGATAGTGTAGTTTTCATACATCTTTTATTTATGTACTTAACTGTTTTATAACATTTATATTGGTTTTTATTTGTTTTTTTAATCAGCTTGGCATTTTTATGGAACAAAAAGATTTCCCCAAATGGAGCCCTGCTTTATAAGGAATGTACTTCCAGGGGTTTGGCCTATTTTATGATGGTCTAACTTGTGATTATTTCCTGGGAACCTGCAGGGTCCAAGGTCAGAGGATGAGCCCACAGATATGAGCCCCAGAGGTCATACAATAATATGCAAACTCATCAGGATGAGATTCTAACCACACCTGTCAAATCCTAGTGACATTCCTTTTCTTTTCTGCTTATTTTCTAAACTGGTTCCATGTCCTCCAGGGGTTCTGCAAGAAGGTGAGAGGCAAGGTGTCTAACAGCTTCCATGCACACACCACCAGCTCCTGCTGCTTCCTGCCATTGCCCTTCCCCACTCTGCCCGAGGCTACACACAGTGGTGATGCTGCTGCATTAATTTACAGCCTGCCATGCTCATTTCCTGACCTGGGAAGTGGGACAATAGGTATTGGTGTCACCTGCAGGATAGCCAGAGCATCAACTCTGGTGCTATGCAGAAAGTTTGCATTAAATAAAAGTGAATGGGTGAGGGATGACGTGGTACCAAGGCAAGGGCTGGTCACATCTCTGTGTGACAGGTGGCTGTTCTTGTATTAGATTTGCCTGCCATGCCCTGCTAGGCTGGAGGCCCCTGAGGGCAGAGCTGCTGACCCTGTCTTCCCTGTGTCCACAGGTCCTGGTGGGGCACAGGACATTCCCTGATCTGAAGCAACTAGACAAATATAAGTAGCACAGAAGTGATGACAGTCTTCAGTAAGGAAGGAAGGAATGGAATTATATGTGCTTTCAATTCTTATTATGATTGCTTTTCTGTATTTGTTATATTTTTTATTTATTCCTGAATCTCTATAGAAAATTCTAGTAAGAAACCTAATATAGTGGGGCTGAGGTTGTGGCTCAGTGGTAGAGTACTTGCCTAGCATGCGTGAGGCACTGGGTTTGACTCTCAGCACCACATACAAATAAATAAAATAAAGGTCCATGAACAACTAAAAAATATTTTAAAAAAGAAACCTAATATGGTATAAAGTTGTGCAAGTGATAGACACAGATAAAGTTCACTACACATTTTAATATATGATATAAAATATTAAAGACATGAACAAGATGGGTACAGCAGCACACACTTGTGTTCACAGTGACTTGGGAGACTGAGGCAGGAGGATGGCAAGTTTGAAGCCAGCCTCAGAGGCTTAGTGAGACCCTGTCTCAAAATAAAAAAATTAAAAAGGCTGAGGATGTGGCTCAGTGGTAGTACACCCCTGGGTTCAATCCCCAGTACAAAAAAAAAAAAAAGTAAAGAAATCAAACATTTTATATTAGCAAGCAAAAATAATCATCAAACTCAATCTTGTAAATCCCTGTGAGGAACAAAAGAGACTCCCCCACACTTGACTTGTGTTTTGTCTGCCTTCTGAGAACAACATTGAAATAGCAAACTGTAGAGAACACACACAAAGCTTGTTAAAATGATCACCACAGATGTATTGTTTATCAATTCAAAGAACACTACATTCACTGAATCATTTTATTCATTATTAAATTCCCTTTTGTCAAAACAAAACAAAAACACAACACTCTATGCCTCTACTGAAACAGGATGCTTCTTCCAGGAGGTTCTGGAGGGAGGCCAGTCCACGCCAGCATAGCAACTCAGGCTCTGGCATCATCAATGTAGAAAAAGCAGTTTTTCCTGAGGCAACAGCAAGTTACCAGCATGAATCAGAACATGGCAAACATGTCTGTGCAGTTACTTTGTTTTAGTGACTGAGACATTCAGGTGAACAAGACTATGCTCATAAATACAAGAAGGGGGGCCACTGGTATCCTCCTCAGGACAGTGCCACAACAGAAGGTTCCGGGCTCTGTGGAGCAGGACGGCTTTCAAACTTCAAATATCTTATGGCTGAAAATGATAGCCATGTTATTCAGATTTTAGCTATATTAATGAAAGTTCAACAGTATTATAAAAACTATAAATTTTAGTTTCTCTGGGAATTATAAGCTTTTGACAGATAATTTTCAAATGCATACCTCACACAACTGACATGTAAAGTTCATGTTCATTCCTCTTTCTTGTGATACCCGGCAATTTGTGCCTTGCTCCAAGAGTACTCACAGAAACAGACACGGGAAGAGAGAACACAAAGCTTTCCAATTGGAGGAACCGCTTCCTTCCCGTGTTCAAACCAGTCAGGATTCCAGGTGCCAGGATGTTGGAGACCATGCATGTCGCACCCCAGGATCACATTGCAGGAACTCCAGTGCACAGGTAGCGTGAACGTCCCCTTCCTCTACCTAATGCTCTGCCTGGCAGCTTCGCTTCCCTGTTCCAGGCACAGTAAAGGCTAAGTTGCACTTCTACTACCCAGAGAAAGGACACTGGGTGACAATGTGTGCTAAGCTGGTCCACAGTCCTTGCTCCTTGTTTATAATTCCATTTCAAGAGCTCTCTCCACAATGGTTTGAATCTTTGAGGTCAGGCAAAGAGCACAAGGTGCTGGGCAACACTGTGCTCCCCTCCACCATGAAGGGGAGCACAGAACCAGGAGAGGGCCCTGGTGTGGGGACACTTAGAAAGTCACACTGCTAAAAGGTCTTGATAACAGAGATAGTTCAAAACAATATTTTTACATACTTTGGAAAAATAGACTTATTTCAAGTATCTTGAAGTGTGACTTGGGGATTTCATCAGTCTCTTGTGTTTTTCCTGCAGTGCCACCTTGCTTTAAAGCCTCCCAGGCTCAGTGCATGGGGAGCTGCTTCTTCACGCTGAGGGAAAGCTCTGTTTGCTCATTAGTCTTCTGTACATCCCATCTGGTCTTGAAAGCAGTTCTTCATGCTTTCCGTGTTCGGTGATTTTTCCACGGTCAAGAACAGCGACAACATCTGCATTCTTGATGGTGGACAGGCGGTGGGCAATGACTAACACTGTCCTTCCCTCCATCAGTCGATCCAGAGCCTCTTGCACAAGGTGCTCATTTTCGGCATCCAGCGCACTGGTCAGGGCCACAGGAGCAGACTTTAGTGCCAGAGCAGTACACAGCCCCAGGGCCACACTCCTTATGGTGAACTTCTGTTCTGACCCAAATTTCCCTGCTGGGAGCAGGGACAGCAAGGAGGCAGGCAGGACCCCCCACCTCTAGAACCACGCTGGCATCCAAGCAGAAGGCCCTGTTCAGGTGCCAACTGCAGGGATCAGGGCCCCTCCCGAGCTGGATGCCCACTGGTGCCCCTCTGTCCCCTGCCTCTTGACTGCCATTACTGGCCCAGACTGCCTCACTTCACTGTGCAGGGTCCCTCCTACAGTGGGACACTCCTGAGTGCCTTGTGCAGAACACAGCCCCACATGTGCACACACCCTCACCTGGTCGCTTCATCCAGGAGAAGAATTCTAGGGTTCTGAAGGGAAAATATTTAAAAGAAAAGAAAAAAAATGATTTTAGTGGAAAATACAAGTTTTCAGTAATAAGACAGAACCACATTTGACATGTGCCACAGTGTGGGTGGGCCTTGGAGCATCACGCTCAGGGAGGGACCACACTGGCGTGGTTCCACCTGGGCAACTTTACCAGGACAGAAGCATGGAGGACAGGGCAAAATCAGTGGCCAGCTGGGTCAGTAGAGGGAAAGAGGAGGGGCATGCACAGTGGAGGTCGGGCAGACACCATCAGGGCAATGAAGAGTTCTACAGTTGATTGTGGGTTCTGTGTTCAACCAACTCTAAATTTACTAACAGTCACTGAGAAGTACAGCCAAGATAGGTGAAGTTTATGCTATGGAGATTGTGCTTAAGTGAAGCTGCCTTTAACTCGCCGTATCCCTGAGGGGAACTTGTGGCAGAGGCTGTCCTCTGGGGCAGCTCTCTGACCTGTAGCCAGTGAGGCCCTTCCCTGGCCTGAGGTTGCCTGGACCTCAGCTCTGCACTGCTCAATCAGCAGTGGGTACCCAGGCCCAGCATGTGCTGGGTCCCCTGAGTTGGGATCACTGTGTGCAGATGGTTCTTGAGGACATGACTTGCTTGCTTGCTCTTCCTCATAGCCCAAAGCCACAACAGCTCCCGGCCCGAGAAGCCTTTGTTGAACTTGGATATGGCCGCTGGGCTCTGCTTACCTTCCACAAGAATGGTCGATCACCTACCCCCCTTCGCCCCCCAATGCAAAAATAAGGAAGAAAGACGGAAATTACAAACTGTGAGATATCCAAGTGAAAACGGTACCAAACCCAATCGAGAGGCTTCACACTTACCTTAAGCAGGGCTCGGGCAATTGCAATCCGCTGTTTCTGTCCACCTGACAAAAATAAACAAAAATCCTTAACAAAAACTCTAGGAATACGCTTTCCTGATGAGGCATGTAGCCATGTGGAGGTACCTTCTCCAGCTGCCTACAGCTGGGATAGAGGGGAGAACAGAGACCTGTTTTTACAATACCTTGTCTTCCCATCAATCTCAGAATTAACAGCAACAACTTAGCTACACTAAGGATGCCCTACCCAGGAGGTGTTATCTAAGTGTGTTACCCTACTAGGTGCACCCCAACTGACTCCCATTTTTTTTTTTAAAGAGAGAGTGAGAGAGGAGAGAGAGAGATAGAGAGAGAATTTTTAATATTTATTTTTTTTAGTTCTCGGCGGACACAACATCTTTGTTGGTATGTGGTGCTGAGGATCGAACCCGGGCGGCACGCATGCCAGGCGAGCGCGCTACCGCTTGAGCCACATCCCCAGCCCCCCAACTGACTCCCACTTTACAGAGGAAAGACTGAGGCACAGGCAGGACTGGGTCTCAGGATCAGCAGATGCAAGCCTAGTCTTGACCAACACAGTGTGGAGGGCTCTGCCTCCACCCATGCACTCCCCCTCAGGGGGTTAGGAGTTCAGATATGGGAGGCTTCTGGACAGCACTAGAAGCATCCAGAATAAAGGGCACCTGCACCTGCTTCCCCAGTAGACACTGGTCCTCACTCCTCCCATGTGTATGGTCTCCACTTAACCTGGAGGCCTGTAGTGACCCCCTGCCCTTTCACCTCCTGCCCCTCCATCTCCTGTCCCTCCCTTCCTCCAGGACTCCTCTCCAGCCTCAGGACACTCACCTCCCCACTAGCTTTGTGGTAAGGGCACTCCTTTCTGGCTAACTCACCCAGAAGTTTATTCCCTGTAGCCGGCACCATGGTGCCCTAGACCCGGCCCCTCACAGAAGCTAGCACAGGAGGACGCCAGGATGACCCTCCCTTGTCCAGGGCCAGTCCCTGGAGTAGCCGGCCATGGGCTACTTGTGCTTTGAGGCATTCTGGGTGCGGCCAGTGCACAGGGACCAAGTGCTGGGTCCTCTCAGAACACAGGTAGGCTAGAGCCAGTGCTGGAGAGCATCTCTGCCTCCGCAGGTGGGCATAGATCACTTGCTCTTCACAGCTGCCTTCCTCTACAGGTCTCTGAGTTTCCAGTCACAAAACATCTTTTCTCAGATGAGAAGAAACCTTGAGGAACTGAGTACTGCCCAGAAGCTGTTGGGACAGCTCTGGGCATTAGGAGAGGGAGACTTCGAAGCCATTCACAGAGGTCAGAGGCCACGAGGCTCTGCCCGTGGCTTTGAGGACAGGACCTGGCCATGGCAATGGTGCAGTCTGAGGCCAGGGAGCAGGGCACTCCTGTGAGTCCAGCATACAGGTGTGGGGGTGGGGTGGGGGAGTGGGGGGACACTACACGGCAAAGAGGAGACAACAGGCCCACCTGACAGCAGCACGCCCTTCTCCCCCACCACCGTGTGGAAGCCTCGGGGGAACTTCCGGATGAAAGCCGCAGCATTGGCGGCCTCTGCAGCCCTCTCCACCTGCTCTGCTGTCACCGAGGAAGGGCAGTCCGCACCATAAGCGATGTTCTCAGCAATAGAGCAAGAAAATAAAACTGGCTCCTACAAATTGGAACAAAGCATGTGTGTCACAAATTCCAAGGCAGAATTCAATAGCACCTCAGTGCCTTGGACTCTGCACAGCACTAGACCCAGATGGGCCCTCGGCACAAAGGACAGGCTCTGCTCTGGCTCTACATCATCGTCCTCCTGCTCCGGCCCCCCAGCACTCGGTGGGCCTCTGTCTTACCCTGAAGGTGAAGCCAGATTTAAAGATAGGTAGTTAGTGTAGTTAGGTAAATCGGGTCTAATATTGAATAAGATAAATAAAATGGAGGCCATTATAGAGAATGGAGTCCAGGAAACCAGAGCAGCACTTGGGGAAATTGAAATGTGAATGTCCCCAAGGCCTGGAGCCCATCCTAAGGAAATGTTAATGAAGCAGCTCCCAGCAAACAGGGAGGTGCTAATCAAAAGCTGCCCCAGGCCCTTCCAACCCAGATTACTCCTTCAGCCCACCTATCTCCCACCTTTTTGGGCCTTCCCACCTGCATTTTTTCCCTGCAAGATAAAGGGAAACAAAAGACATGAGTGTGGGAAAGCTGAAAGAAGACGTTAGCTATAAAAAGGGAAGACCTTCCCCTTCCACAGATTCTGCCTTTTGGGTACCCTTCTTCCTCTGGGAGAAGTCTTCTCTGCCTTCCTTTACAGTGTGCTTCTCTGGTGTTATACTTCAGCATTGGGGAAGCAAGATCTTGTCACCAGTAAACAGCGATAACAAAGGGGCCTGATCTGAGCACCTGCTATCCTCACCATGCTGCAGATGACACCCTGCAGAGTGTCAGCCCACATATACCTGAGTATATATACAAGAGCCCGCAGGGGTCAGCCCACATATACCTGAGCCCCTCCCTCAGGACTGGAGGACCCCTGTCCATCCCCTCCCAGATGACTCCTACTGAGGGTAGAGGGGCTCCTCCTCCTCCTGGGTGGGAGCATATCCTGGCAGCATGTGAAGGGTTCCTAAAGAAAGGCTGCCTGCAGCTTCTCTCCAGTGCTCAGCGTACACCCTGCCTAGCACCCATCACTGTGCCACTGGCCGCAGCCCAGAACTCTGAAACCTGAACTTCTCATGAGGGGCCTTTGCTTGTTTATTCCGAAAACCTGTCACACAAAGCAAGAGAATAGTTGGTGGTGACACGGGGCTTGGGACAAGCCCCTGAAAGCATCTGCAGTCTCCCTGCATCCTCTAGACTACATGTATTCAGAGAAGCACAAGCCCCAGACCTGGATGAAGCCACTGCTTCAATTAGTTGACGCTTGGGATGTGGCAAAAACCTGCCACAGGATGAGCCTGACACTCCTGGAAATTTGTGTCCTTCTCTCTTGAGAGGTGCAAGTTCCAGAAAAAGCAAGGGGCAGAAGCAGCTTCAAAGAGTGAATGATGGACAGAGGCCTTGTCTCACCTGACTGACGGTCCCAATCTTGGATCTCAGCCAGGCTGGGTTCAGCTGGCGGATGTCATTGCCATCCAGAAGAACAGCTCCTTGTAGGGGGAGAACAAAGTCGCTGAGCGCCAGGCAGCCAATGGCTAACAGGAACACAGACTGTGCACGGTAGGAGAGTTCCAGTTGCAGGTTTGTGAAGTTTAATGACACTCCCTAAGTGGAGCCCAAGCCAGCATGTGAATTTCAGAGCTAAGAGGGGCCTTCTGGGCGCCAAGTCTAGGGCTCCCTCAGTCGTGGGCTAAGAGCCAGGCCCTATCACCTTCCTCGGCCTGTCCAAGCTCCTCCTCCTGGTGACTTGAGGCCCCACCTTCAGATGCCCCAGGAGGGGCTTTGAGTCAAAAGAGAGCTACCAGGGAGAGGCGAGCTGGTCCACTACTGGTCCTCCCAGGGGTGCAGTGCTGAGGTAGTGCCAGATCCCACAGCCACCTGATGGGCCAGCACTAGCAGTGGCCTTGAGTTCCACCTATTCTCAGGCAAAGATCTCAGAGTGCCCTGGAACACAACCTGGAATCTGCTTTATCAGCCCGCCCAGTGATTTTTGAGCTTTTATTACTCCTTAAAATATTCCCTGTGCATGAATCTAATCAAGGGGAATCTATTATCAGCCACCTGAGAATCTGACCCATGCCATGGCAGAGATCTTAAGTGATCAGAGGCCAACTTCACAGTCCTCACTAGCAGAATTACTTCTGCGTGCTGAGGGTACTCAGAGCTGAATGCTAATAACACCAGGAGTGCAGCTCCTCTCCAGCAGAGCTGAGATGCTGAGGGCCAGCTGGAAACCCAAGGGTGCTGTGCCCATGGAAGAGGCTCAAGGACAGCTCTCTCAACCTTGATTCTATTTGTTCTGCAAGAAACCAGACTTAATTTATTTTGATTTGATTTGTATCTACCTGGCTACGATTATTTAAACTCAGCACTTCATAGCATGTCAAGAGTGAATCCCAACAGCAACTCTGGAGGCAACAGAATGGTCCCCCATCCAGAGCAGGTGGGGCTTCCTGGCTTAGGATCTGCAAGCCAAGTGTGCACAACACCTCACCAGCAGCATGTGGCTTAAACAAGAGTGCTAGAAGAGAAACTCTTCATGAAGTCACAACTCTAGTCACTAATAGTCGTTTGCTTGCTGACAACCGTTTTTTTCAATCCAAATCCAAAGAGATACACACTGATTATCTACTATGGGAAGGATGTAAAAAAGTGAAATCATGTGCTTTTGCTCTTTAGGACGTTGTAATTTGGGGCCAGGATTGTGGCTCAGTGGTAGAGAGCTCGCCTAGCATGTGCGAGGCCCTGGGTTTGATCCTCAGAACCACATAACAATAAATAAATAAAACAAAGGTATTGTGTGCAACTACAACTAAAAAATAAATATTTTTTTTAAAAAAAGACGTTGTAATTCAGTTAAAAATAAAATTAAAACTAGAATGACGGCTGGGTACGGTGGTGTACACCTGTAATCCCTGCAGCTCAGGAGGCCGACACAGGAGGATCACAAGTTCAAAGCCAATCTCAGCAACATAGTGAAGCCCTAAGAAACTCAGTGAGACCCTGTCTCTAAATAAAAAAACAGAAAAGGGCTGGGGATGTGGCTCAGTGGTTAAGTGCCCCTGGTATCAAAAACTAAACAAACAAACAAACAAACCCAAAAATCCATTAAGAAAATCCCTCCTAGTTCAAAACATTTCAACAGGGCTGTCACATGAGCATGAATCACTGATGGTCAGATGGCCAGACTAGGTGTTTTCTCATGACCAATGAACACCCCCAGGCAGGAGCATCTCTGGAGCTCCTAGGGCTCCTATGCGCAGCACCTCATGCTATGAGGGGTGCCCAGCAGCCCAAGAGCCCCTTGTCTGCAAGCACTGCCTCACCTGCCTCACTCTTGTCCTCTCAGGGAGAGCTGGAATTCTGAGCTTGAAGAGGCAGAACACAAAATCTGGAAAACTGAGGATGCCTCCCACTTGGGGGAGTTCTTGCCTGGAAGGAGTGGCTGGTGTAGAGCACCCAAAGCTCTGCAGTCAGGAGGGTGCCCTTGCCCACAGCGTGGCATCACTTACCAGAAAGGGGGTCATACAGTCGCAGTAGGAGCGAGACCACAGTTGATTTGCCGGAGCCACTTGGGCCAACCAGAGCTGTGACAGATCCTGCCGGGATGGAAAGACTGAAATCCTGAAATATGGGCAGCTCTGGACGAGCCGGGTAGGCAAAGTGCACGTTCTTAAACTGCAAGGCCCCCTGGAAGCTCTTCTCACGTAAAGTGACCCCTTCTGAAACACAGGAGGAACCCAGGTACTTAAGGCAAAAACCAAACTTGTCTGAAGATGGACAGGGGATAGGGAGACCCCTGCAGCCACTTAGAGGGCACTCCTGGGGAATGAAGGTGCAGACCTGTCTCTAAGGCTGGCCATGCAGCCACACTCACCTGCTGCAAACATAGGATCACATGTATAAAGGCTCATTTGATCTCACAGCCCGAGAGTCCAGCTTTTCTGTGGACTTTTCTGTGGTCAGCCTGCCTGGCCTAGCAGTGAAGGGAGATCCAGCCTCTGAGCAGTCTGATGTAAACCCACTGGCCTCTCCCAGCCTACTCTCCTGGTGCAGGGCGTCATATCACCCTGAATAAACACTTGATGACGGGAGTGTTGCGCAATAGTGGAGTCAGAGGTCTGCTCTGCCAGCGCCATTTGCCCTGGTGTGGGAGACAGGGCTCAGCCTCTCGTAGGGTGTGTGTCCAGGGCCATCACACTGGATAGCACCATCTTGCTGGACCTGCCCACCCCACAGTGTCTAGGAGCCCATGAGGGTGAAGAGTGGTCACAGCCTCTGCCAAGTCTGCTGAGTCTGTGAGCTGGCCCAGGCCCAGGGCTGCAGGAAGCTGCCCACAAGCAAGGAGGAGGCTCCAGCCACTCAGTACCAGGTCCTTCACCCCACCCCAAGTGCCAAGAAATGCAGTCTTTTAAATGTTAGGTCTGGCGCCTTCCTCCCATCCCAACCCCTCACAGGTCTGCTTGGTAAACTAGCTGTGGCCCTTCTTGGAGGTCAGTGTCCACACATCTAAGGATGGTGGCCTGTAGCAGCCGTCCTTCCTCGTCCCCTCTCATAGGAAGCCTGACCCTTTCCCTGCTGTGCATGGGGACCGTGTCCTTGTAATGTGCTGGACTTAAGAAGCCAGAATGCCTCACCCCCAGCAGACAGCAGCCTATTTCACACCCACCATCAATAGGCATCTGGGGCTGCCTCTCCAAGAGCTCCCAGAGCCGGCCGCCGGCACCCAGGCCTTTCATCAGCTCCGAGTAGAAAGAGCTCAGACCTGCAGGAGAGAAGCATCCATCAGCATGGCTCCGCAGCTCCATCCCATGGGAGCCCTGCAGAGGTGCACTTTAAGGTGAGATCTGTCACTTCTGAGTCAGGAGGTGAAACTGTCTTCACCATTCCCTGAATTCCTTGCTTCTGGGCAGTGAGCCAAGGCTGGTGTGCTGAAGGCACTTCCACCTTAGGTGTTTTCCAGTTTGGGTTGGTTATATGGACACAGCCCATCCCTCAGTCAGGGAGCCTCTGTACACAAAGCACTCTGAAAACTGAACCACAGGTGGGTGCGGTGCCCACGTCTGTCAGCTCAGCTGCTCAGGAAGCTAAAGCAGGAGGATCACAAGTTCAAGGCTAGCCTGCACAACTTAGCAAGACCCTCAAAATAAACTAAAAAAGGATTGGTGTGCAGCTCAGTGGTGGAGCAAGACAGAGGAAAAGCCTTTGCTTTCAGCTGTTACAACAAAACCTTTAAGTCAGACACCAGGTGCACTGACATCACAGGACCAGCATCCTTTAACCAGACCTCAGTCACTTGTCTGGCCTTTCCACCACAGGCTGGGAGGAAAACAAGGCCCATAGCCATCTGCCAGGCTGGCTGGGGTCTTGTGCGAGGTGCAGAAAAAATACTCCAGACTTCACAAAGGCTTTTCCCCTTCCAGGAACGGACAACAAAAGCTAAACCCTGAAAGACCCTCTCTCCCTTTTCTTCCTTTTTTGTTTTCAAGACAGTATCTCCCTATGCTGCCCAGGTTGGCCTTGAGTGATTAGGCTCCAGTGATCCCCCTGCTTCAGCATCTAAGCAGCTGGGAAAGCAGGCATCCATCTCTGAGAGAGTCTTGGCAAAAGCAAGCAAGTCTGTTTCATGAACTCGATAATATGTCAAGCAAATGTGTCGATATATATATAAACATATATAGGGGCTGGGGATGTGGCTCAAGCAGTAGCGCGCTCGCCTGGCATGCATGAGGCCCGGGTTTGATCCTCAGCACCACATACAAACAAAGATGTTGTGTCTGCCGAGAACTAAAAAATAAATATTAAAAAATTCTCTCTCTCTCTCTCTCTCTCTCTCTCTCTCTCTCTCACACGCACACACACACACACACACACACACACTCTCTCTTTAAAAAAAATAAAATAAACATATATATATATACACACACACACACACACACACACACACACACACACATATTACATCTGAGATTGAACCCAGGGGCTCTTAACCACTGAGCCAACCACTAAGTCACATCCCCATCCCTTTTTACTTATTTATTTTGTTTAGAGACAGAATTTTGCTAAGTTGATGATGCTGGCTTTGAACTTGCAATCCACCTGCTTCAGTCTCCTGAGCCTTACAGGCGTTACAGGCATGCATCACTGTGCCCGGCATGTGTTGATATTTTTAATTGTTCATTTTGAGTATGGTTAGCTTTGTACAAAAGGAGCTTTATTCCTCAGTGATTTGCCAGAAGTAAAACTATCACCACCACAGGACTGTGTTTTCTGTGTCCACAGATGTTCAGCATCACCCTGGCCTCTGCGAGTAGCATCTGCATCTGTGAGCAGCGGCAGCTGTTTTAACAGCAGGGATAGATGGCTCCCAGCAATGCTGAGCTGCAGGAGGTCCACAAAGACCCTGAATGTCCCAGAGGGCCCACTGGCTACTCTCATAACTGCATTTTCTTTTAAAACCCAGTTGGAATAACATCATAGGGAATGTTTGTTCAGATGAAAGCCTGATTTTTAATTCATAAGTCCCCAGATCACGTAAATTATGTACCTCCAATGCTCAGTCCAACCCAGAAGGCATACATGAGGAAGGAAGAGAGTTCGCCCACCGTCATGTGGGCAGCGCCCATAAGCAGTCCTCCCTTGTACAGGACAGATAGCACGATCAGGTTCCCAGACAGTCCTGTCTGTAGGAGGAGAAAATACAGAGTCAGGGAAAACCAAGGGCCTCTTTGGACACCAAAAGCAGGGACCAGGCCTTTAATTTCCTTCTTAAGACTTAAAATTTCATCTGGATTTCAAACAAAACAATGTTTCAAAATACTGAAATAGTATTAGTATTGCCATAATCTCATCACCATGAAAACCTAGGTGCTGAGACACCCACCAGGCTCCCATTCCACTCACTCTGTTCCGCTTGCAAAGGAAGACCGAGGACCCGTCCCCCTCACCTACACATCTGATGCTGTGACTCCGTACTGAGCTGGCCCTGGTGCCCTGCTAGACCATCAGATGGTGAGGGGCCTTGGTAAGGGCAGCCTTCTCTGGGTCACTGTTTCCATGTTAATTGTGGCAATCACCAAATCACCTCTAAAGTCCTTTCCAGTTTGGACATATCACTGAAATGTGTCCTATTTAGGTTTATGGCAACCGAGTTCTTACACTTCCTGCTTGAAAGGCTCTGAGGTTATCCAGGTACCTTAGTAGGTATCAAATTCATCTGTATCACAATGACACAGAGGCCTGTTCAAACACAGACTTGCTGCCCAGCCCTGGTCGAGGTCGGGAAAGTGGGAACTAAGAGGCCCAGGTGAGACTCACCCTGAGAACCAGCCCAACCTGCCTAGACCACCTTCTCCTCATGGTATTTACCTGTTTTCCTGATAGTGACTAAGTATTTTCTATTGTGTCAAGAGCCACAGAATAAACACCTCTCACAATACTAGCACCTGCTTTTCCATTCCTTCCAGAATGACCCACTTACTGCTCCAAAGAAGCCAGCCCGAGCAAAGGCCTCCTTCCTTGCCAATTGCATGACGTGGTCCACTCTGTGGGAGTATTTCTCCACCTCAGCCACCTCTTTGCCAAAGGCTCGCACGGTTCTGATATTTCCGATGCACTCCTCTGCTAGCTGCAGGGAACAGGTGCATTACAGGGAGAAGGGGCATACTTGAGTCTAGAAGCAGAAGCAAAGTGTGATTCTTATTTAAAACACTATCAATGGAAAGACACTCGTGAAACCCAGCTGGGTCAGGAAAGGATATAGGGCCAAGTACACAAACCACCCCACTGTTGAAAAGCACATCAGACAGACAGAGCCAGATGATTGACAGAGAACAGGCAGATGACACACAGGCTTATGCAGGTAAAAAGAAAGACTTTACAACATTGATGGTATTAATTCTGAATCAGGATTATCCATGTTTTTGTGTTTTCTCATATTTTCACATTTTTCCAATGATAAGCAAGCATGGCTTTATAACATGAAAATATCAAGTTATTTTCATTTTTTGCAAACCTGGTTTTGCAAGGCACTCTAGAGCTTGCTTATTGACTTAATGGAGGGCACAGTATCATCTAGAAACTATTACCAGAACATGACTAGCTTTTGGCCCTCCCAGAGACAGCAATAGCAAGACATGAGAGAGTGGGACAGTGTCAGGTCAGGTTGGACGTGCTCTGTGACGCGGTGCAATGACTGCAGAGTGAGGAAAGGGAGAGCTGTGCTCTGTGGCCCTTGCTCTGAGCCTATTCCCCTGGACACCACAGCACGGGGAGGCTGTTACCTGAGTGGCTTGTGCCAGAGAGTCCTGTGTGGCTTTGGACAGGTTCCTCAGGTATCGCCCATAAGCCACTGCAAGGATGGACATCGGAGGCACCACACTCAGGACAAAAGTGGCCAGGGCAGGCGAGACAAAAAACTGTGGGAAAAGTGGGGGTGCTCGTTAGGTGAAGCTGTAGTCCTCTCTGCTCTGTGCCAGGGAAGCGGCTTGACAGCACTGTCCCCAGGCCAGGCCGCCTGTCTCAAGAGAGCTTTTCAGACCTCTTTAATCTTCATAAAACCCCATGAGTGCTACACAGAAGTAAAGTGGCACACAGCCAATGGAGAAAGACGGGATGCTTGTGCTCAGGCCAATCCGTACACATCGGGGCAGCAGGTCCAAAAGTGGGGGCAGATGGGCGTCCAGCAGGGAGAACACCACCTGCTGTGCATGGCAGAGGTGTCCTGTCAACTCTGCAATCCAGTGACCTGTGAAGAGGCACTAGTGTCTGCTCAGCACATGACAGAACCCGCTAGGTCCCATTTGCACAGAAAGCAGGTCTCCTAACTGTCCCCAGGGAACACCAGGGACTGAAGGAAAAGTAACGGGCAGATCCGCCAATCAGGTCTTTTCTCTCAGGGGAAACTCCTGCCAAGCTCTCACACAGCGAGCAGTACCCAGGCGCTGGACAGAGGCCTGGCCCACTGGTGGGAGTTAGATGATGAGGAGGAAGAGGGGCACATTTCTGGGGCCACCGGTCTTGGGAGGCCTCTCCTCCACAGGGCCAAGTAAGACATGGGACTTGAGGAGGAGCGAGTATGCTCACAGGTCCACGAGGTACTCACAGGTTCAGGGAGCAGCTCACATCCGATGGTGTCCTCCAGGTAGAGAGGCACAGGCCCCCGGGATTCTCTAGGACTGGGGTGAGCCCAGACCACCCTCCCACCTTGTTCTGCATCCAGGCTTAATAAATGTCCTTCTGTTGCCTAACCAGGGTCCCAGCACCAGAAAGGGGCATTTGCGCCAGCACATGTTTTCACACAGGGAGAAAATGGCAGGGTGACGTGGGCAATATCCATTCTCAGGGGGTGGACCCCAGCCCTGTGCAGGAGGAACAAAGCCCATCACTCCTCCAGAGCTGAGGACCGATTTCAACGATGCTCCATAAGAGGACCACTGTGGCTGGAAGGTTGTTTTTACCCCCAGACTCCTGTGTAGGAACCCTAAACCCCAGGGTTGGAGATGAGGCCTGAGGAAGTAACTAAGGCCCAAAGAGGTCAGGGGCTAGGGGAGCATGCTTGCCAGGAGGGGCAGCTCTCTTCTGTGAGTGCATGGCAAGATGCTGGTCACTGACAGGTCAAGGGAAGAAGCCTCAGAATGACCCTGGAATCGCAGCTTCCAGACCACAAGAAACACACGACTGCTCTCTAAGCTTGTGGACCTCAGCTATGGCATCCAGTGAAGGGGGCAGGCCCTTCACACAGGACTCCTCCTACACTGGACTCTCACTCACAGTACAGAGCTTCCCCAACTGCCCTCTCTTGAGCCCCAGGACCATGAAGGCACTTGAGTGTGGGAAGGTATATGTTCCCGGGGTCTGTTTCTCCTGCAGCTATAAAACCATGACACTTCAAAGCTCTTTTCTGCCCTGTACAACAGATCTAGCAGGTAGATGCTAGCAACAGGTCCTTCAGATCCCTGCCGATGCTAAGTGGGATACAGAACAAGACAAAAACTCTTCTTCTTGTAAGAAAGCGTTACAGGGTATGGCCCTCAGCCCCCCATTCAGATACCGCCCATTCAGAAACCGCTGTCAAACAAGAGCCTCAGGTGGCCCTGGGCACATGAACTATGGCAGGTGTGGCAGGAAAACTGAATTGCTGATTTCACTTAGGGTTAATTAAGATCAATATTCCATGATTGGCAAGCTTTCAAGTATGCCTGCAAACCCTCCTCATGTCAAACTACTGTTTCACTTGCAAATTTTAGGAAATCTAAAGTTGGATCAGGCCTTGCCAGGGAAAATTCTGCACCCATATCGAGATGTTCCTTACACTTAGAGCTTGGAGTCATAATATGTAAAAAGTAAAATACAGTTCCTCACTAGTGATTGTGACAGGAATTACACGTCAAGATGATAACAGTCATTCACACTGTTAAACAAACACCACCATCATCAGCCCTATGTCCTTTCGCTTTTCTGAGCATGGTCAGAACACTAAGGTCAGGACAAGGCTTTGCCACGGCCATCAGGCCAGCTGTGCTCGTCTGAGAACAAACACTGCCTGAAAGTGAGGCGAGCCAACTATACAGGCCGAGCCAGCCACCAAGGACAGCACAGCCAGGGGTGCAGAGCCCCTTGCAGGAGCACAGCTGCCACCATGCAGAAGCGTGGTCTACTCCCGCAGGCCCAGCTCCCCTGCCTCCCACTGCTGGGTTTCCAGGGCTCCCGCATGCTCAGAAAACCTAGCAACATCGAGAGGGGCTATTCTGTGGAGCTTCTGGAGAGATGCAGGGAGCCCAGTGGGAGAGGAGACCCCGTCACTGCAGCCTCCAGGACAGCTGGCCTCCACCTGTCAGGCTGCAGAGGCCTGGCCCAGCCGAGCCCACCCAGCCAGCAGGTCCCCAGGAGAAGCCCACCTACCATCATGCCAATCCCAACTGAGGCCTGGGCTCCAGCCCTGAGCCCGTCCGAGAGGTTTTCAGTCACTGAGCGCCCCAGGAGCGCAGTGTCCGAGGACAGGCGGTTGATCAATTCTCCTGTGCGAGTCTTGTCAAAGAAAGCAACATCCTGCCTCAAAACAGAGGAGAACAGCGAGGTTCGCAGCCTGTTCACAATGCGCTGACCTGTGGAGCAAGCAGAGGGCTCTCAGAGTGCTGCCCGTCACCAGGAGGGCTCTCAGCGTGCTGCCTGACATCAGCAGGGCTGGAGTAGGGCTGCCTGTGAGGGCTCTCAGTGTGCTGCCCATCACCAGGAGAGCACTACGGCTGCACACAGCCTGTCACTGACTTCCTCCTAGGATGGACAGTGCTGCTGATGAGAAGACAGGAGGTGCACAGAGAGTATCATGAAGAAGCTCGAATACATTAAATCTTTCCCATTTTCTTATTTATTTTTTGGCACTGAAGGTTGAACCCAGGGGCACTTTACCACTGAACTCATCCCCGTCGTTGGTAGTTTTTCACTTTGAGTCAGGGTCTCATACGTTGCTGAGGCTGGCCTTGAACTTGTGAGTCTCCTGCCTCAGCCTCCCCAGGTGCTGGGTTTACAGGTGTGCGCCACCACACCTGGAGATTACACTGATCTTTAAAAGGTAATTTTTCTCCTTCCTGGCACCTCTTTTGCAATGAGCTCTGGTGTGAGAACTAGTGAATTGTGCACGCAGTGTTTTATTAATGGAGCGGCACAACAGCCCTAGAGGCAGTGCCCTGGCGTCGGTGTTGAGTGTTTTCCTGCCTGCTAACAAGTAGACTTCTCAGAAGAAATACAGCAAAGTTGCCACCTCCGCCGCTACACAGCACAGGGCAGAAAGCAGGGTGCCATCCTTAAAGCCTCGGGTGCCAACCTGCAGCCAAGGGCCTTGTTCTCAAACCTCCTTTAAGACCCACGTGGCATTTCTCCCACTGCTGAGCCCAAGTAGGCAAAACAGAGGCAAGAAGAGAGGGCTGGGGCTGGGGATGCGGCTCAAGCGGTGGCGCACTCGCCTGGCATGCGTGCGGCCTGGGTTCGATCCTCAGCACCACATGCCAACAAAGATGTTGTGTCC